TCCCTTTTTCCCGTATCCCCCCCCCCCCCCCCCCCCCCAAGAAAGGAAAAGGACAAAAAAAATGCTTTGACAAAAACTTCAATAGAACCAATCTATTCTTACAAAATGTTCAGCTTCCACAAAATTCTGCATGCTTGAAAAGTTCTACTGTCATCCTTAATTAGAACCATCTATCTGTTACAGTAGGCTATTGTACTCATATTTAGGAATGAACAAACATTTTAGAAGTTTTGTGTGTCATTCAAAGTGCTTCTTGGTTTTGTAAAACTAATGATACTCTGTTAACGTTTTCCCCTTTGTAGTTTAAACTTGTGTTTATTTTCTCAAGAATGCATTGAGTAAAAATATAACTAAGGAGAAGGTGCTAGGGAAAAAAATTCTCCTGAAATGAAGCTGGCATGCATGGGTGACTGTTGTATGATATACTTACCAAAGCTTTTTTTTCTTCACATTTTTCTTTTCCATTCTTTGCATCTCTTCTCACAATCTCTCCCAAATGGCTTCAAGCAAAATCACTTGGACTGGTTGAAACTCTGAATGGGTTTGGAAATAGGCAGGAGTTTATTCAGCCTTTGTGAGTGCTTTGGTGTATACTAGGGGGCAGATTCACAAAAACATTGTAATGTTGCTAGATAAGGATATGTGTGAACTGCGAATTGGGAAAGAACCTAATCAGGTTCAATGCCTAATTCCCACTAGGTGGGAGTCTGCCTGTATCTCCAGTTGCCATAATCCCTCCATAAATTTGGCCCATGTATGTCTGCCATAGCCCCAGATAAATGCAGAATAGAAGAGCCCTTTCTGATGGAAAGACAGAGAACAAGAGACCCTTCTAGCCCTTGGCCTTATTTGCTGTGGTGTTCTTATTGGCCAGAGCCATAAGAAAACCTATTTGCAATTCCACTGAGGATTGCTGTAGCCCGAGGGCAGTAATGTATTTTTTTCTGATTTCCTTGTCTAGTGTGTTAACTTTTGTTCGGTCTCCTCTTTTATGTTAAAGAGCTCGAACAAGTCATTGAAGCTCCGGAGGAAACCTCGGGAAAGTGATTTTGAAACAATAAAGCTGATTAGCAATGGAGCTTATGGGTGAGTAATCCACGAGTGCAACAACTCGCTTGCATTTCATCTATTCATAATCTCCCTTTTTTCCTTATTGCAAACAGCAGGAAGGTGTGCTTCTGTATTGTGTATACATGTGCATTGGTGCCCTTCTGGCTTCTATTTGTAATCCATTTTCCATATTATTACTGACACTTAGTATTGCCAGTGTAGTTCAGAAGAAACCTCACTCAACCATAGAGCAATATAACAAAATCCACCACCAGTCCAGAGGGCAGGAGGAGGTGGGGGAGGTTCAAAAAGGGAGGAGTAGAAATAGGAAGAAAAATCTCAGGAGTAAGAGGAAAAAGAATTGTCCTAGGACTCAGAGGTCTCTATGAAACTGGGAGATCCTTACAGCTCTTACAAAACAGACAGAAAAAGGTAAAGGACCAGGGTTTCATATGAAGGAAGGTGGAGGAAGAAGGATGTATGCCAGCTCTAGCATCTCAGTTGTGCTGTATGTGAGTTTTTGGAAGGGAAGAAAAATCAATGTGCCTGACATGAAATGGCTGTATACTAAATGAAAGCTAATGTTTACTACAATGAGAAATGAGTTTCTGTATCAGAATCCAAGACGTGCTGATGAGTTTGTGGATAAAGTGATCTTTTTTTGGGAGGTGGGGATAGGAGAGGAGTGGTGACTGAAATGCAGGGACTATTTAATGCACTGCTGCCTCTGCATTAAATGTGAAATCAGCATGGACTGATTTTGGCCACTTGAGATTTAAATTGTGGAATTCTAGAAGTAGAGGAGGAAACTGCAAACCTTTTTTTATTTAAAAAAAATTCTAATATATCTGCACATTAAATATACAACTTGCTTGGCTAGGGTAAATCTTTAAAAAAAGGCCCCAAACTGGATATTTTGGTGAATAACCTGTGGCTAAAATTATTGAATTGTCACAAATTATCATCTTCTTTCCAAAGAAAACTTAGCACTTGTGAACTAAAGACCAACTGACTATCAGTAGCTTGCTTTTATAGACTGGACTTAAGTTGCTAAATTCCCTACCCTACTGTCCTACTCCCTACGGTATTATTCTCAAAAGCATCTATGTGCTTTGCCTATTTCCATTCTAGTTTACTTGGCAAGAGACAGATTAATATGGGTTTTTTTTCAGCGTTCAGTATGTGTTTGACTTGGCAACATATGATTGGCAGTTAATTTAGTTTAAATTAGGGTCAACAAATATAAGGGTCCAACTCATTAGTACTTCCTGAATTCCTTTTAGCCTGTCTAAAAATTGCATATAATTAAGCAAAAATATCTGTTCCATCTGTGGATACAAAACAATAAACTGCTCCATAGGCATTTATTGCAGCTTATTACAAGTGTAAGCAGCTAAAATAAAAGTTATTGTTATGCTACAAGGATTTTTTCTATGCCAGTGTTTTTCCAGTCCATTAACTTTTTGAAGTAACCCAAATTTGTGTGAATTTTGTCTTGCTTCAGTGATATATTTTCAGGAATGTGTCAGTGGGCATATTTTCTGACATGACCTGTTAATGCTATATTATATTTAATTTTTTTTTCTTTGCATAATGAAAGGTTTCCTCCTCAGCCAAATTAAAACAAAAAGTTTTCCACTTGGTTGTTTTTGTTTATTTGGTTTTGGTATTGATATTTCTGCCTTCATTAGTGAAAAGGAAGGCTTTGCTTGTTTGACAGTGTAATTGTTGGTGTTGGCACACTGAAGCAGAGATTTGTCAGATGCATTAAACTTGATGAATTTAAATATAAATCATTGGTTTTTTTGAAAGTTTGAGTAAATATTTAGTAGTATTCTTCTTTGTAATTGGTTGAATAAACTCATTTGCTCTGCGATTAAATGTCTGTATAGTAGATGAGGTATATCGGGCTTTTGGGAATGGTTGGGAATATACAAGAAGTTAAACAAGCTGTGAATCAGTAAACATGTAGGATGCAGGCCAAGTCATTAATGGCTTCACAAGCTGTCTACCTTAGACTTTCTCAGTGAGCCAAAACTTTCTTTCCTTTCATGCTCCCTACATATTAAATTTTCAATACAATCCTAGCACACTCCCTCCAAGTTCTTTAAAAACGTAAATAAAAATGTATAGACAACACTTAGCACAGTCATGGCTCCATGACTTAACAAATTACATCTTAAAGTTAATTTTATGGGTAGATGAAATCAAGCTTTTTTGGATTTATTAGGCTGGTCATTGAGTGTTGCATAATTGTGTCTGCTTTATGCATTACAGAGTACTACTTTTGACAGTGCCAGGAATGTTTTTACTTGCTTTTGGTTGTGGAAGAAGAAGGGATAAATAATTTTTTCCATCTATTTAGATACATGCTTTTTACTAGCTAATTGTATTGTAGTATGGTCACTGGTACACACAAAGTAAAAATGTGCTGTGGCTATGAGCAAATGGGATACCCTTTAGTTCAAATGTGTTGCGTCCCTATGAAGCTATAATGGGTCTTATACCAGTCAAGGAGACTAAAATGTGGTTCTCCTAAACTAAAAGTAAATTTATTGAACCCTAACAGATACAATTCTAATTAACATTGAAGCAGCATTAGCAGTTAAAAATTTGAGGTTTGTAGCTAGTCAAAGCAGATGCTCACCACCCCGTAATGTTACAAACGCAACTTCACTGGTTGATCAGGCCATGAAGTCTTGTCCGGGGCTCCTAGTTTCCATGTCTGACTGTTCCTCTTTTGACGCAGGAGGTCAAAAAACTGTTTTCGGAGTGTTTTCTCTTCCTCCTTACCCTTGCTTCTATTTGGAAGGCAAGAAATTTCTTTCATCATGATTATTTGTGTTAGTTTCATTTCAGACTTTTACAAGGATAAGATCTTACCTTCCATATATTGAGGGCTGCCTTTTATGAGCAAAATGAAAATTTACATGAAGTAGTGATACAACCTTTTTGCACATGGCAGCATTCTTGGTTGAAAACCACTGTTGTGCTCAGTTTATTTCAGTGCTTCTCAACTGGGTGATGCTACCAGGTAAAACTGCCCTGCATACCTGCTGTATAGCAGCCTGGGAAGGGCTGTGGCACGTATGGATGCTCTTCATGCGTTAGGGTTCTTCGATCAACCTAAAGCAAGCAGGAGAACTTGCCCATGCTCCAGTCCTTCCCAGCCCAACCCTGCACAGTATCTCCTGGAAACAGAAGCTCACAGGGCAGGTGGATCTGTCCTGCGTGTCTCTTTCTGGGGGGGAGTGATGGTGTGGGGGTCAAATAGACAAGGGCTGAAGCATGAGGGAACAAGCTCTCCTGCCTACTTCAGGCTGATCAGAGAACCCTAATGCAGGAGAAGTGCACATGCATGGCAGCCCTGCATATAGGGCAGTTTTTTATCTGGCCTCCATGACTGTGTCAGTGGTATCTGTGCTTTGACAACCCTGAGAGGGGTCACGTAGCATCCCAGTTGAGAACCACTAGACTTGGTAGCTGGAGGAAACTGGAATCATTGTACTATTTTCAAGTGTGTAGTTTTATCACTCAGGGTGTCCACCCATCTGGAAAATGGTGGAATACCCCTGCTTAAATTACCATCTGTAAATTTATCACTTTGATATACCAGTCACAAGGCATGTCTGTCTAAACCAAAAATGAACTGCCACTTGCATTTAAGATGGTTAGAATTTTTTACCTGAAATGGGCTGTTACTGTAAAATTTAGGAAGAATTGGAAGATGCCAAAGCTTCACCCTCCTACAGTGACAACCTCTCCATGTAAATGTTATAAAAAAACCACAAGGCTATGTTTTTCCCACAGGTGATATTTTCTGGCATTAATCCTAGAAGCACGTCTAAAATAAATATATTGTATTCCAGCCTGGACCACTACCAGGAGCTGTTTATTTTGATTCCATCCAAAAGTCCAGCTAAGCCATTCTCAAGACTAAGTGAATGAATAAAAAAAAAAAACCTAGGAAAAAATAGAGGGATAGGAAGATGAGACAATGACCAAATCCTGTGCATCAAGAAGCAGTGAAGAAGGAATTCACCTGTATTTTGTAAATTACTAGGTAGCCCAAGAAGAATGCAAGCAAAGGGTTCAATGCAGATCAGAGATCAGAAGAGTTCTTTATAGAATTATAGAGCTGGCAGGCACCTCAAGGGTCATTTAATACCACTCCCGATGCAAATGCAGAATGTGCTGTTCCTAACCATCCCTGACAAATGCTTTTCCATCCTTTTCTTGAAAACTTCAAGTGAAGGAAGTTCCACAACTTCCCTGGACAGCTTGTTCCATTGTCCAGAAAGAAGGGAAGTTGTTTTTCTGAGATTTAATCTTGCTCTTTTGTTGCAGTTTAAAGCCATTGCTCTATATCCTGCCTTTTGTGTCAAGGGAGAGTAGTTGTTTTCCTTCTTCTTTATCTCAGCTGCTCAAATATTTGAAAACTGTTATCATATCCCTTCTTAATCTCCTTGTATCCATGGAAAACCTACCTAGTTCTCTTAGCCTTTCATTATACACCTTCAGTTACAGCCCTTTATCACTGCTTGCTCACCTCTGGATCCCTCTCCATTCTCTTAAAAAGCATCTTAAAGGCAGAGCTCAGAAGTTCATAAAATGCTATGGTGAAGGTCGAACGACCAAGAAACAGAGTGGCATATTTGCATCTTGCATACAATACTTCTGTATTGCTCAAGATAGTTTTTGTTTGTTTTTTTTTTGTTGTTGTTGACTGCATAACGTTGAATTTGTGATCCAGAGCTGGGAGAGAGGGAGAGGCCTGCTCTAGAAAGTTAAGATGTGCCAAGAGAAATTACTCCGATTGTTCCAGTCTTACTACAAAGTTGCAATAAGTTCAGTTTATAATTAAGTATCACCATCAGGGTATATTACACAAGTCTTCCTTCTTAGAGTGTGTCTCCACAAGTGTGCACATGCACTGGTTCTCCACGCTGCTACTTTGCAGTGCAGTGTCTTTTCTTAACATTGGGAGGTCTCGGTATCAAAAAGACCCACCACTGAAAAGTTAGCTGCACTGCATGCAGCAGCAGCGTGTGCCATAGAAAACTGGAGCCTAGCTGGCCAGAGGCATGTTATGGCTGCCAGCCAGGCCAAAGTGACTGGCTCAGCACTGCTGCTGCCTTGGGAGGCCCCCAAGACCCCAGGTAAGGGCAGCAGTTGTGCTGACCCCAGCCCCCCTTACATCATCTGGGTCTATTTGCTGCGCATTGGAGCTCATGTGCAGGAGCGTGCCTGGGGACAGATAGCAACGGAAAAAAACATGTACCCTTAGACCACGTCCATTCGTGCATGGACATTTGGTTCCCTGGGGACAAGGAGTGGTGGCAAACTGTGCTGGCCCCAGCAGCCTTATCTGAGGTCCTGGGGACCTCCTGGGGCTGAAGCAGTGGCAATCGTGCCACTTGGAGCCTGGTTGGCATCTGGAGCATGGCTCCAGCTCGCCCAGCTCCACTTTTGAGCAGTGCACGCTGTCCCCATATGCGCAACTCCCTTTTTTTTTTTTACCCCTGGATATTCTGGGGAACAACTGAATGTGCAGTATGTGGCACTGCAGATACGTCTGTGGTGCCACATACTGCACGGTCATGCTCGTGTGAATGCAGCCTTCAAGTCCAATAGGTATGAGGACTTTATTTCCCCTGCCTCCCTCTCCCCCCCCCCCCCCCCCCCCCCCCCACACACAATATTTTGTAGTTTCAACAACTTTTGTATCTTTTTATTTTAGCTCTTTCTTTCTGGTGAGTCTTGCTTGCCAGTGGTCATCATAGTGATATCTTTTTAAATATTATCTTTTAATGCTCTGCGGGGTTGACGCAAAGATGGAGTATCCTCTATTCAATTTTGGCTGCGATGTCCTTTGCATCCTGAAGGACATCCTGTAAGGACAAATTTTGGGTGGGGAGAGAAGAGCAGAGCACAAAAATTGAGCTTCAAAGAAGTCTGCCTTCCAAAGACATGAAGGCTTTTGGAATCTACCCAAACCTTTGGGAGGCCTTAAAAGGAGGCGGGACAAAGTGGCGTTTCCTTCTCAGTCATGGAGTCCAACACCACAATGAAAATGTTTGCAGAAACATGACCAAAGGAAAAAGCCTCTTGGTACAGTAGCCCCTAACACTGTGTACACCTGTAACCACTGTGGCAGGACCTACAAGTCTAACATCGGTCTTTACAGCCACAAGAGAAAATGCACCACCAGTCAGTAGAAAGGCTTCAGTGTCCACTGTCACTTGCTGATGAACAGATGCCATTAGGTGGTTGAGGGGGGAGTCTCAGGATTTGGTTCTTGCTCTTAGTAAATGTGGTATAGAGTAATACATTAAGTGCATCTTAAAACAAGTAGATGGAAGGGAAATAATTTCAAGTAGCCACAATGATCTTTGAATGTTTGTTATATTGGAGAAAAAGAAGGTTATACAGCATCAGACCTACATCCTTCATTACTGCATGCAAGCTATACATCCTATATTATAATATTAAAAATGTCACAAGAGATGTTATTTTTAAAATTCTATGCCTACTTGTATCTGTATCCATGCTGATGCAGGGATAAGCACATGTAAATGGACAAGACGGCAAAAATAAAGTAAAAATGCAGAAAGTTGAGTTGTTTTCTGATAGCAACTGCGTGTAATTTCTGAATGTTTCTAATTCCTTCATTCTGGAAACCTGAAGTATTGAAGGAGGAGTTGAATAGTGAATGATGCCATGGGTTTATTTTCTTTGTCAGGCAAATGGAGATATAAAGTACTTTATACAAATGGAGGATGTGTGATTTTTATATTATTTTGTGCTATTAGTTTTTGTGCCTGTGATGTCATTGGAACTTCACAATCATTTTCTGAAGAACTGTGTTTGTTTTCTGACTTGTGATGAAAAACTTGGAATAAAAAAGTACAGCCCAGAGACCCAAGGTGTACAACCCAGCATATCTAAATGCTGCTTGCATACTGACTTAGATATTCATCATCATAATGGCTTCTTTGGCGGGTTACATAAATTTGACCCTGCTGTTGCCTGTAATGATATCTACAGAGCTTGCAAAAGACAGCCTTTATAGTAAGTTTCTGTTTTAATACCCTCTAGTTTATTTCTTTCATCCTGCCTTTACAAATTTCACTTGACATACTTCTCTGAAGGCAAACTGTTGGAATCCAGCAGCACTGGTTCTTAGCCTCTCATCCCCTAATGGGGTTGCTGGCCCTCACTCCCCTTGATGTGGAGGACTGTGTATTGGCACAAGAATTCCCTGGAGAACCAAGTCT